TTGCAACTGCAGAGGCTGGAGAGGGAAAAGAAACAAGAACTGCAGCTGCAGATTCAAGAGCGGCGAGGGAGGAATGACTCAGACTGGATGACTGAGAAGACCAACAGTGTTCTCACGCTTCAGCCGAGTATTATGACGGAGGCATCGCCAGCGGTCAAGTGGGCCAACAAGTACGACAAGGAAGCGATACGTGAGGCCTACTTGACGAACGCAAGTGCAGGCCGTGGATCTGGGAGTGTAGACACCCACACCAATGGTCACGCGACACCCACAACCAACGGCTACGACCATCCTCCAGAGCTGCCGCCTAAATCGCCATCTCTGCTCCCACAGCCGTCCCCAGCAGGTCTGCCGGCGTCACCCTCGTTTATACACCGTGCCGAGACGCCCGAGCCGGAGATTTCGAAACTGACAGAAAAGTCCTTTGAGGTGCCGAGGGATATCCATCCGGCCGAGCGAGCATCAGATGCTGGCCGCAGCACTCCTTTGCCGCCGCCAAAGCAGATGGAAAGTCTAGAGTTGGCGCGCGAGAACATGGTCTCACCTGACCCCGACCTCAGTCCCGAGAGCAAGAAGCAGAGGAAGCTTCAAAAGGAGATGAGTAGGAGTCATCCTAGCGTAGGTGGCGCGGCTGGTGGGGGCGGCTTCAGGAAGCTATTCGCCCGTAAGAACAGGCAGTCGAAGCTCCCCGAAAATGCCGCCGATCAGCTCAACTCCATGGGCGTCGTAAGTGAAAAGGCTCCCGCACCTGCTCCTGTTGTGGCGCCTGTTGCTTCTCAGCCCACCGTGCCAGAGAAGCCCAACATGCAGCGAGAGGAGCCTCAGTTCGTGGTACCCAGAGAAGAACGCTTCGAGGCGGCCTCCCCTCAAACACCCCCAGCGCTTTTTATCGCTGCCACGCCGTCTCCACTTGTCGTTGTTGCTTCCCCCACTGCGTCCCCGCTGCCGGAGCCGACGTTTGAGCCGGCAATCATCGAGGAAAACTCGCGCATCAACGCAGCTGATGCGGCGGAGGCCAAGGATGAATTTTCTCGCTTCGACCAAGGCCCGCTGACGGACCAACCCGCTTTCATTCCCGACGAGGGCGATGATGCCGAGGACGCGGTACCCCCTCCGATTGCCAGACACATGACCCGTTCTCCTCTCCCATCGCCCCTGGCCGATGAGGATGAGGCTGCTACGCCGCCTTCGGTTCCCCGCAAGGCTGCTGCTGACCCTCAGGATCGGTGGGCTCAAATTCGCAAGAACGCCGCTGAGCGAGCAGCTCAACGCACGAGCGGCCAGCCTGATGAGAAGGCAGCTGGACTCGGAAGGCCTGTTGAGGTGGATGATGACACGAGCGGCGAAGAGAGTAAGTAAACCACAGAAATGCTTTGCCCATACAGTCGATAAGTCAACTAACTAGTCTATTATTAGCCATTGAATCACGCGTGGCTCGCATCAAGGCCAGGGTTGCGGAGCTGACCAGTAACGCCGAAGGCATCAGCGGGCCATCGCCTCCTATCCGTCGTTAGTTACGATGCCCATTCCTGGGAAGTTGTATCAGCCCGAGGCTTCATTGGCGTCGGCAGGGCAACTAACAGTCGCCCAAAATACCAAATTGGACTAAACCAAATCAGGGGGGTTTTCCCTTCGCGCAACACTTCGGCTGGCTTTTTAGCTTTTTTTTCTTCTCTTATGCAGTGGGAAGGGTCCCGCCCCAGGTACCCAAGTGAAGGACAAATCTTCACAATCTGGCCTAGTAATAATCATCCTTCATTTTACCTCTTAATTCTGTCGACGCGCGCGAGATTACGAGTTTTCCTTGCACACCTTTTTCTCCCTCTCCCGATGATACCACTAGAAAAGCTCTGCGGATGTTTTTAGCAAGCAAGCAATCGATGCAGATGGGGCATCTTTCTCGCGATCGTTTTTTTCTTTTTTTTTCTTTTTGTATTCGTCTCTTTTTTTTGTTTGATATTCGCTGGGAGCAAGCCACGACGGAGTCTGTTCCGTTGTTGGCCTTTTACTTTCCGGCTGGGGTTGTTGCTGCCAGGAGGGGGAGAACAAAAATACTTGGTTGGATTCTCGCCGTATACCCAACTGGAGATTCCGAAACTTCCAAGACTGGGGTTTTTTTCCCTACATGGAGGAGGTCGCCAGGTATATGCGTGGGGTTCTGGCTGGTTCGCACACGGCCGGTGCTACCTCTAGTTACATAGCGCTGGGGGTTTAGAGCTCGGAAATGCCAGATGGATTCTTTTTCTTACATCTTGGTGTCATGGTGCCTGTGTCATTTCGAGTTTGGGCCGCTCAGGTGTCTGTCTGTAATCAGTTCAACATATCTACAAGGAATGCCGGAAACATGGAGCATGAGCGGTTGGAAAGGGCTTGTCGGGGTATTGTCGTTTGTAAGCTCTGGTTCAAATAACAGTATAGTAATTCGGTATCGTCGAATCTACTTCGCCTCCCATGAAATAGTGACAGCAACCGTTCATCATCGAGACAGGGAAAGGTGCCAAGTCGAAGAAAGAGTAGGCCAATCTCGCTAGGCACACACCTAAATATAGTAGTACATATAATCAGCATAGCTGAGTGGTAACCCCTTGAAAATCTACCCACCAAATATTACACTACAGCCAGTTCCCCGTCATAAATTACAAATTTCCTATCTTGATAAGCTTTATCTATGCCGCCGTGAATTCCTTGTCTTGCCCCCCATATAGTCAGCAGACAACAGGACGCCATTAAGCCAAGGAAAGCGAAAAGAGCTCTTGGACCAGAGAGGATGCCCGCGGGTGTCCACTGTATCTGTTGCCACCCACCCCTTCTATAAATCCCGTCGACCGTCCAGTCATCTCATCCATCCCAGAGCCAAGCAGAAACGGCAAGAAATAACGCCAAACATGCTAACCCGCCTACTGGACCAATAACCCAGGCGCCTCAAAAATACATGCAGTTGAGATGTTGCTGTAAAGACCACTCTCAGCTCCGCTAAGCCTGGGCCGTCCGCTCGTGATCCCTCGCCAAAGCTCTCTCGTTGACCCCCCGAAAGGCGCGCTTGCCCACCTCGTAACTGCTGATCATGATGGCACATGCAGGTGCCACCTTGAGCGTCCTCGGGATCCACCCCTTGAACAAGCCTGCGGCACCCTCGGTCTTGAAAATGTGCCATAGCAGCCTAGCCATGCTCCGTTCCTCAGGCACCGCCGACGTAATACCGCTGACGGTAGTCTCACGGAAGACCTGCGTCCTCGTCTTGCCTACATCGAACGGCATCGTCGCAACACTTGCAAATGCACCCGACAGCGCACCGGCTACGAAGCTGTCGGTGAACGTCTCGGTGTGATTCTCCCGGCTCTGCGAGCGGCGTCGCGCGCGTGTACGCGCCCGGCCGCTATCGGTGGTTTCAGCTTCCAGGTCTAGCGTACGGCCACGGCTACGCTCACGCGCATCCGTCAGCTTGCCGCGGATCGTCTCGTACCCCCACCAGTACATGCCCGAGAAGGGCACGTCACGCCACAGTGTCAGGGTCAGGCCGCGCCACAGAGAGCGATAGCCGTGAATACTGACCATGTCCGTGATGCCGGTGAATGTGTCTCGCAGGGGACGTGATGAGCCTTGTGATGCCTGCAGCCGTGTGCGGAACAGCTCAATGGGGCTGACGGCCGTGGCAGCAAGAACACGGGCAGCCATGCCGGCAGCAAGTGGCGCGTACGCTTCATGAACGGTGCGCGCAATCGGGCTGTTGGGATTGAAGCGCAGGGACTCATATCCGGTGAAGTAGATAATGTTGGCCGGGACAGCCATGAGCAGTGTCGGCGACAGGCCTCGCCAAAGGGTAGTGAAGCCCTCATTACGGGCGATCTTTCGCAGGCCATCGAAAGTCGAGTTGAAAGTGCGCTGTTGCGTCTGCTCGACGGCACACCCGGAACTGTGCGCCAGTGTGTTGCCGCGAAGGGTACCGGCGCCAGCGCTGATACGAGGGCCGGCTAAGCATATCTCTGAGTTGTTGTTCATGAAAAAGACCTCGCGGCAGCAGGCCGTTACCCCCAGGTTCATAGGCCGGAAGGCGTTCGGGGTGGAAACGGCGAGCTTCTGGAAATCTACGGGGTGAGGCTGCGAAACCCCCTGCGATTGCCATCGCACACGCACGACGTCGAGAGGTGTAGCTAGAGCGGCAAGGGGATGATAAGCTTGGGTTCGGCCGATGATATGTTAACAGCGAGGGGAGAATGGGAGCCTACCTAGCAGACCCGTCAACAAGCTACCTGATGTTGCCGACATCATTTTCTGCGCAATCGTGATTTCGACAGGGTCGGTGGGAGCACCAATGTTATCGCTGGCAGGCAGCGAGCCCGACGGCAGGGCAAGGGAGGCATCACGGGCTAATCGGTCGTGGTTCTGGCCTTCTGATGTTTGGGCGGCGCGCGTAACATGGGAAGCCATCTCAGTGATGTCGTCAACGTCGTCAAATATCCAGTCCACACGGCCGTGTGGAGCTGGATTCACTGTACTGCTGTACCCAGCTTGTAGCGAGAATTGATGGTCGCTGCTGTGCTTCGCAAAGGGAAATGACTAGGCTCTGCGTATGCAGCAGAATGGTTGACGTTGTTTGTGCCGCAGGGGCAAAAGTTAGATGCTTTGCAAGCGAATGTGCGAGGCCGGAGCTTTCTCTTGCTCAATTGCTTCGACGCATCATTCAAACTCTCTCACAGGCGGAACATTCTCGATCAGACAAAAAATTATAAGTGGGCCCCTCAAACAGGGAATAACGGTGATAAGCTGTCGTTAGGCCGAGCCGAGTAGCTTGATTACCTAACACCCTATCCATTCACGCCACCTTGGCCGTGCTTTGCCATTCAACATGATGTCACTTATCGCGTTATCAGTCCACCTTGCTTTTTCCATTCCCACTTGGACACCAGCTCTCAGCCGCATCCACAATGACACAACCACGGATTCTTAGCGATGAAGATCAAAAAGGAGATACTCCACTACGGGATGAGAAACATGTGATATGACCCACACCTACATTGAACAGATAACCTTTCGTTCTGGAAGAGCACGCGCTACCAATTGCACCAGCAGACCGCCTTAATTGATGAAAGTTGGTAGCGTTTGCGTGGCTATGAGCTGAGCTTGGGGCGGTGATTGAGACGAGAGCTAGGATTAGGTAAGGTTGGCGAATACTACAGCATTCAGGGGTAACACACTCCTTCAAACAAAATCTCGAATCCAATCAACCTGATAAACAGCTACACTATTCTCCTCTTTTCATGTCATTTCCCGTCGTCCCCCACAACTGCCGGCCCAACACAAAAAGGCATTTCCCTTATCCCACCAGAGCCTCCTCCCAGATTAAAACAGCCACTGAGCCGCCCGTTGCCAGTCAAAACCCCAGCCAACTTATGGTTATATCCGCCTGCCCCGCAGCGACGACGTAAGCTTCATCGGATAAGATTCCGAGCTCCTCATTGTGAGAGCTTCTGGAACACCTACCGAACGAGGCGAGACGACAAGGCGAGTCAACATCCATTGATTGAAAAGGCGGGGAAACATTGTACGGGTACGTATGCGCCTGCTTGGCACCCTCAAGTCGCTCAACCTACCGGTCTTCACACCCCAAAACTGCCATGTCGGTAGCTGAACAAGCATCCCCGCCATACGTCCTGTGTCCAGTACCAGTGCCGGTACCCATCGAGTCAGGCGAGTTGACAACTCAACTGCCTACCTTTGCTGGCTCCTGGACTGAGTGCTATTTGCCCTTTGCTACCCAAGATGCTCGCACACTCTCCTTGAGATTGCAAGCACTCTGCAAGAAAATGGCATCACTAGTTTGACTTATTCATATTGTTCGCAGATGAAACGCGAGTCTCGTTCAGCGCCTTTGTATGTTTATTCAACACTCTCTACCTACGTGCCATGTCCAGCCAAATACCCAACCAACTGTTTTTTATCACTGTGTTGCTGCAACTCACAGTAAATCTTTGTATATGCAGTCCCACCGCTTCCGACTTCCGCCCATTACGTGGCGCAAAATAAGGTATTCCTACACACCCAAGTACAACACACAACCATCATTTTGACAAGAAAATAATAACGGGGGGTTTTCTCCCACCTCGTCTGGCAGACCCAAAGTTCACACCAAGTTAATGCTCCACAAATGACAAAAGAAAGTATGATATGCAAGGCCATGCCCTGGTGTGTGTGATAACCTCTCGAAATGTGAAATATGCAAATAGTATGTCGGACCTGCGACTGTCTTCTGCGTCTTTGAAGCACATCCAGCCCAATTAATGGGACGGATGTCAGGAGACCCTAGAACCGTTCCAAATAGGAATATCTGGCCATAAAAGAAATCCAGAGCGCCCCTCCTCCCCTCCCCTCACACGTCCTAGTGTAGTTTCTCTTTCAGATACACAACCGCGGCATAGCCAGCACAGCAGCTTGTGCTCATGTTGTGCTGGCACCACGGGCACTTCACCATCGTTGTAATGGCGCCCGAGATACCAAGCATGCGGTCCTCCACCACTGCATCCGGCTTTGCCATGCACTCATAGAGCTTTGACGGCATATCATGGTAGAACTTGCAGTTGCAGCATTCGACAAACATCTTGGCAATGGGTGTCATACGAGCTTCTGCCACTGCGGCTGGGGGGCGAGTCGAGATGCCTGCTTGCAACTGCATATGTTTAGGGAGCGCAGAGAGAACTTGAGGCCGAGAAGTGCTGGACGATAGCGACTGCGAGGGATCGGATGCCGACCGCGCTGGCTGTTTAAGGATTGATACTGGCGTTGCTGTAGCCGGGCGAGTAGCTGCGACAGGCGGCGGCAATGGCATAGCCGGATATAGAGTTGATGTTTCTGTTGACGGCCTTGAAGGTGGAGTGGCAGCAGAGAACATTCGAGGCGACCCGGGAACCCTGAGAGCAGGTTGGGACACGGGTGATAGCGTCCTGACTGATGTGTGGACCCCGGTTGAAGAAGCCGGCATATCGTTCGGACCGGGCGCATGGGTTGCATTGATTGGTGCTTCGGCTGCTTCTGAGAAATCGCCATAATAGGGGTCGCTGATGTAGTCTGCGGAGGGGCTGAAAGTGGCAGAAAAAAGGGCTGAACCCGCATCAGGTGTCGTGCTTCGGCTCGCCAGGGCGGAAGTGCGACTGTTTGCAACCACTTGGCCATTCCAATTATGGGCGGCCTCTTCCGTGTCCGCTGCTTTCGCTTGCTTTTGGTGTTGCCTCTTCATCGTCCTTTCCCGCTTCTCACTCTTCTTTTCTGCGACTTCAACATAGTATGTATCGCCTAGCTGCCTGGCTTCTGTCCCATTTAGTACCTGCTGCTGCGGCTGCAGTTTTTCTTGGGGTGAAGCTAAGGAGCCGCCAGCAACCTGAGTCCGTTTCTTGGACCGGGGAGGCGGTTCAATAGGCACTACGAAGTTTGAAAGGGCGTTGATCGAAGACCTGGAACGGAGGGCCGTGTCGGACAGAGACTTGGATAGCCCCGGCTGTCGGCATGACGTGTCACTGGAATGGGATCCTTCTTGGGTGTTTGATTGTACCCCGTCAATGTTGTCCAAATTTGATAGCGAGGTCGTGAAAGATTGGGCGTCGCAATCGATCTCCAGTGGCAGTGCAGTCCTACTCCACCTGTCCTCGTCCACCATGCCAGTACTCTCATGGCTTTCCGATTTGCTAAGACGAGGGGTACTTGATGTGCTGGAGCCACTGGAGCCCTCCAGTGACTGGCGGAGCGTCCCTTGGTCATCCTTGTTCAGTAAGGATCCGGCCGTGCCGCTTGTGGCCTCACCCACAATGAAGGGCACATCTTTGGATGATTGTGGCCGAGACGTGTCAGGAGTAGTGACTGGCGAAGGGAGAGGCGACCCATCCTCGTAGGCAGAGGATGATGACGACCCTTCGGATACACGGCTCCCGACTTGGGTTTCTACCTCGGTGGCTTTGACTCCGTTGGACGATGGCTGGGAAGTGAGTTCGCCTCGTGAAGTCGCTGTGTCGGGAGTTTCTGTCGCCGATACGACTAACACTGGTTCCGGGCTCGCTATAACCATGTCCATCGCAGCAGAAGCCGAAGCCTGGGGGTTCGTTCGACCACGAAGCACAGCATAAGGCGGGAGCTCTGGAGGCAACTTGGAAGCACTTGGCGGGGGCATAGGCCCTCTAGAGATATTCAGAGCCGCCTTTGCTGCATCTCTGAGGCTGCGGCCTTTTTTGCCTTGGCTGCCAGGGGTGGAACCTGTGGTTGATGAATTGCTGGAGCTGACCAGGCTTTGAGCTGTGGTGGGCCGCTCATCGTGAACATGGAATGGACGTGTCGACATGAGCAAACGCTCATCCGCAAGGGCATAACGACCAATCTCCTGGTTCCTCTGCAAAGAAGGGTCAAGGCCAGGCCCATATTGTGAGTGTTCCAGAAAATTGAAATAGTCGTGCTGGCCGTTATTCCTGTTCATCCCGGCGGAATCTTCCTTTGCTGCTGAAGTTACCCTCAGGCCCGCAAGCTTCATTGCAACAGACTTCGCTTCTTGCGTGAATGAGGATCGCCTCGTGTTCTGGGTGTGGCGAGAGCTGCTTCTCGTCGAAGAGGTAGGGAGGGTACCGTTATTGACCAATTGCTCATATGCGATTTCAGCTACAGAACGCTCTACGCTCTGTTCCCTCTGATATTTGACGTGCCCATCTCTGCTCCGTCCCCTGTCGGTCACTAGGGGAACCGCAAGCAGCTCCTGCGATCGATCAACAGGTAGTGGCCCTTCGGTATCTCCGTTATTCTTCCCATCCCGCCCTTTGAAAATCCTCGACGCTCCCTGCAGTAAACTATTGCTTCGGCCATAAGTGGGAGCGGTCGAGTGCCGCAGCAGAGGAGTTCTTGAGGCGGAAGGCGGAAATACCTCCCGAGGAAATCTACTCTCTTGCTTCGCCGTGAGCGATTGAGCAGATGGGTATCCCATAGGTACCGAGCCATCCGGGGGAGGTGAGTGTGGGTTCTGTCTTTGATTGACACCATTGTCGTAGGATAGATGGGGAGGGAATGATGGGGATTGTTGGCCACGGACGGTAATATGAGGATTCAGTGTCCCGTCTCTCCCCCTCTCCAGCCCAGCATCACCGACAAACTGTCTAGCATCAGCATGGGAGTCGGACAAGACTTCGGCCACGGCCGGCTGGTACTGTCGGAACTGCTGGAGATCATCTGCGGAAGCAGCCCTGTCGACATCATTTGCGTAGTTGTTGTGTTGCCCTTCTGGCACAAGATGCTGGCTGATGAGCATTGGATCCGACATCGAGCGGTCCATATTTGTCAGACCGCCAATTCTAGAGGTGTCCCTGGGGGTTGCTGGTGGTGGTGATTTGCTTAGCCTCGCGGCGTATCGCTTCTTTGCCGCTTTTGCTTCCTTCCCGGCCTGCTCCTTTTCTTTTCTCCGCCGCTCTGCCTCCTTTTTCTTTTCCTTTTTCCTTTGTCCATACCCCTCCCAGCTTGGGGATTGGCATATGGATGACTGGTCAGACATCTCTGCGTCCTCCTCCTCGTCCGGCGCGATAAATTTAACTTGCTTGTGCAGTGGCTCTGCAGTGGCTCGTGCCTCTACCTCGTCTTCGCTAACCTTTCCGCTCCGTTTCTCAGTTTCTGCCTCTCGGGAACTCCCGCGGCGGACCTCGTCCTGTTGCTGCGGAATGGTAATTGATAAGGGCGGGAGAACGACACTCCGACGCACTGCCTTTAGCATCAGGTAATTCTGGTGCTGGGACGCTGAGTCGGCCCGGCGAACTTGGAGTGAAGAACGGTCCTCCTGTAGCTCAACTGGCGGCGGAGAGGACCGGGGGGTTGCTGGGGCACTTTGTAATCGCTCCATCTGTCGGAACACAAAGCAAGGTTAGGCATGGTACGCGATGTGAGACATGAGCAAACAACAGTACACGGGCCACGCAGGCAAGCGGTCAGGGTGGATGGCGAGAGCTGAGAGCCGAGGGCGAGAGCCAGGTAGTGATGAACGAGGGAATGACGCACCTTGTGCTTCTGCTCTAGATCTAGCATCCGCTGGAAGTTGGCCGTCCTCATGGCCGCCATCT